GTATCCATGTCTTTTTAAAGATATAACACAATTATTAATCTTATTCCCAGTTAAGTTAGGAATGTAGCCTAAGTAAATTTAAGAGAAATAAGTATGCAAGAATTATGACAGTGAGAAAAAGAGTTAATAGAGTTCAATAATACATGCAGACCGATAGTGGCATAGAAGAAAATACTGATGAGAAATTGAGGTTTTAATTTTAATTTCCCTCCTCATGGTTTTGAAAGTGAATGCATGTTTCTGAAAGTGAATGCATGTTTCTATATGCATGTTTGTGAGCAGGTGTATATGTGGGGATATGTATATACAAATGCTTTCATGCTTAGTTGTGTGCCTGTGCAAGTAAGCACAGCACCCAACTCAGCAGCTGGCAGTCAACTTCTAGAGTGAAAAAGTTTTAAAGTTGTACATAACCCTTTCACAAGATATACAGAGACAGTCAATATCACCTTCTAAAATTATCTTGTAATCCTCGCTAACCACACTGTTGCTTTAATGATGTATGATTTGTTAAGAGGAATTTCCATGAGTTGTAAAAATTCTTCCTTTGAAGGCTTTGCGCTTCCCTAATTTTCATGGAGTTGCCATTATTATGGATTATAATGTACAGTAGCTGGATTTGAAAAGCATTTCACATTTTTATGAAGACTTTTATGTCTTTGTATTTATGAAGAAGTTGAAAAAGATGTGAAATATTTCCTAGTAGTTCCATTTTGGAGGAGGGTGATGGCTCAGTGGTTAAAGACACTGAGCTTGTCAGCTGGAGAGCTGACAACCTAGGTTCAAGACCTGAGCTCCATGCAATGGGGTGAGTTCCCATTACTTGCCCCAGCTTCTACCCACCCAGCAGTTTGAAAGCATGCAGATGCAAGTAGATCAGTGGTTCTCAACCTTTTTAATGCCACGACCCCAACCAGTCGTAAGTCAAGGACTAAACCGGTCATAAGTCAAGGACTTTCCCTGCCCGGGAGTGCCGCGCATGCGTGGTTCCGCCCCCTGCGCCGGCCGAGGCATAGCTGGCAAGTGGCAGAGACGGAGCAGGCCGACCACCAGCTGGCCCAGCCCAAGGGAGGTAAGGCACCCGCCGGAAAAGGGGGAAAAATGGCGGACAAAAAAAATGGCAGACAGCCTTGCTTGGCGACCCCCGTGAAATGGTCGATCGACCCCAAATGGGGTCCCGACCCACAGGTTGAGAACCATTGAAGTAGATTAACAGGTACCACTTTGGTGGGAAGATAACAATGTTCCATGCTGGCCACATGACCATGGAAATTGTTTTTAGACAACACTGGCTCCCTCGGCCAAGAAATAGAGATGAGCAGACATGACTAACAGGGAAATCTTTATGTTTAGTTTCATTTTAAGCAGTTTACCAAATGGTCAAGATATGCAAAAAATTTATCTATGGTAGGAAATGCATCAAATTAAGAAATAAACATATGTGAAATGCATCAAAGTTTGTTTCAGTATAGGCCATCCATAATTTTCAGAGGTTAGTGAAAATGGTATGGTGGTTTAAAAAAGAATCAGAAGAAGTTGACATTGCTAATAGTGATGATAATACTTCAAATTCAGGAAGTGAGAGAGGTACTGATTATATAAACCTCTACTTTAATGACATGTTCATTCTTTAATAATTAGAAGTATTAAGATAATAATTAGAAATATTAAGATAATAGGTTATGCTTCAGTTAAATAGCATCATTATCCATAACTCCTTCTAACATACAGATGAAACTAACTGTAGAGAAATACACAGTTGATCTTGAGAAAGAAGCGGGAAAGTTAAAGGAT